TACATGTTTCGAATGATTAAATAATAAAGCTAAGTTACTATTATTCTTTTTTCTAGTTTATTGTATTAAGTTATTGTATTAATTCTTTGTTGTGAAATTTAGTATTTTCGAGTTTTCGAAGTTATAATAATCATGTGTTCCTAAACGATTTTGGTGTTATGATTGATTCGATAATTTTTCCTGGTAGTTATACTATTGTTGCAGCATTGGTATGTACAACGGTACATTTTGGCGATTTATTTATTTCATGATTTTCTTCTATTTATTTACGATTTTCGTTATTTGTCGTAATTTCGGATAGATTGTCGGTTCGGTTTTACTTTTTCTGGTATGATAATCGTCGGCAGATTTTTAACGGTACCTGTACACACTAAACTGTTTCTGAGCCTTTGTTTTCTAACAGTTGATCAACATGTCACGGGTAAATTTTTTAATATGGGGTCAAATGATTGACGCACCTAAATTTTATAAGTAAAATTTGTGCAAATTTTGCTTTATAGGCTTATTTAACAACAAAGAAGTAGTCGATTTAATTCCATGGTCTCATTTTGCAAATTCTCTAGCTTTTGATGGCTCTTTTTATGAAATTTTAAGGGTGGTTAAAAATAAAACCCCCAAGAATCTTACCACGAAGTTGGCCTATTTTTTTACGATTTTTACTACTTGCTTATAAGTGATGTATGTTGTTTACCCAAAATAGGAAATGATAAACATTCAATGAAATTTGTGTAATTGAATGTTCATCATTTCCTATTTTGGGCAAACAACATACATCACTTATAAGCAAGTAGTAAAAATCGTAAAAAAATAGGCCAACTTCGTGGTCAAGATTCTTGGGGGTTTTATTTTTAACCACCCTTAAAATTTCATAAAAAGATCCTTCAAATGCTAGAGAATTTGCGAAATGAGACCATGGAATTAAACCGACAACTCCTTTATTGTTAAATAAGCCTAAAAAGCAAAATTTGCCCAAATTTTACTTATAAAATTTAGGTGCGTCAATCATTTGACCCATATTAAAAAATTTATCCCCGTGATCTGCGTGACATGTCGATCAACTGCTAAGTAAAAAAGTTACGCGTAAAATGAAAACCAAGAAATCTGTTATAATTAGGGTTAGGATTAGAACTATATAACACTTATTAGTAAAACATCACGAGGAACATTTTTAATTAGGCCGCAGAAGGTGGTTTCCTAATTAGACTTTAGAGTTATTCTTTTTTTTTGTAAAAAAAAATGGGTTCGTTTCGATTTTTACGTCACACCTGATCCTGAGATTCGATTAGTCAAAATTACAGGGGGTGAACAATATTTTGTGGGAGAGTTAGGGGTGTCTTAATTATGCGGCTTTATGCACATAATGCGTATGCGACATGGTTTGAATTATGCTCATATTATGTCGCATCGTGTTCTGTGTCGTTATAATCGCTCCGTCCGCGGTCTAGGGGTGGTTCATCAAAACGTTGCAGTCAGGTAACAGCGGTAAAATTGTAAAATCGGTCAAGGAAAATTTTTTGCTAGTGCATTAAAGCGATTTCCTATGCAGATTTTTGAGTTATGGGCGCTGATTCGAATTTAATTAAATTGATCAAGTTTAACCTAACCTAAAAACCAACATAACCTGTAACATACACAATTAGATTTAAATACACCATTTAATTAAATTCTGAGTTTGTGTGATATAAAGACGGTTCTATAAACCAAATCATTTTGGTTTTGAGTTGATTACAGAGCTATTTAACTTCGACTAAAGCCGACTCGTATTGGAGAGAGACAAACCGGATATTATAAATAAAACTGGATCCAATATCTATTTATACCCAGGATTATAGAGTAGTTTAGAGGTAAATAATAGATCAAAATGTGAATAAGTATTGTCAGTCTTGCCAAAATCCTAAAGCCCGATATTAATTAAAATTTTTAGTTTCAATCAGTGAAAAAAATTCAGACTTGAAATTTAGTGCGCCAAGCGCACATTCTGTTTGACTAGAGGTTGGAACCGGTTTTAATAATTCGGGTTTATCACATGAATTTTGTGATATTTTAAAATTTAATCCAATTAAAATTTAATAAATTCTAAAATATCACAAAATTCACGTGATAAACCCGAATTATTAAAACCGGTTCCAACCTCTATGTTTGACTGTTCAAAAAAATTATGTGCGCATGCTTCGTATTTGATATGTTTTGCTATCGCACACCTGTAAATTTTTTTTGTGCGCAAAAAAAATTTTATGTGCGGGAGCGCACATGCGCACATTGAATTTTTTCCACTGGTTTCAATGATATAATGTGATCAATATAGACAATGAGCCTGGTTTATTAATAAAGATAATTATAAAAACTACAACGGCAAAAAGAACTAGCTACATTAAATTTTCTTTATTAAATCCTCTTTTTCGTATACATCCAACTTTGGCGAAAGACTCAATGCATAACTTTTAAGATCAGATAAACATGCAAGCACCTCTAGCCTTTCATTAGCGTTTGAAATACGGAATCCATATCCTTTGGGATATTTGTGAACATGTAAATCGTTTTGAGGACGACCACAAAATAAATCTTCGATATAAGATTGATCGATATTAGCCGAATAAAAATAAAACCTATCTTCAATTACTCTAATACCCACAATTTTTTCTGGATATACCTCATCCAACATATAATAATTCCATTGAGCCGCTGCAACCATACATGTCACTAAATGAACTTCCCAATTCTTATATTTTATGGCTCCTTTAAATTTATCTTCACACAACACCCACACTATTTCAGCACCTCTTTTGCCTTTTCTATCGGCATCTGCTTCAAATTCATTTTCATTAATTTCTAATACTAAGGCGCATGGTCCCATGGTTAAGTCTACTCCGTCATCAAGGCTTGCTTGATCACACAAAAATAATACAAAATCATTTACATAATTCTCTAAGTTTTTTCGATCATTTTCGTTCAAAAGCAGATGGTTGAGTTTGCCAAGAAATTTCTTTTGATTTTTATTTAAATTCGGATAATTACGAATATTGAAGCGTCTTACAGAATCAATATCCTTAATTTCAGTGAGAACATAATCTTGAAGTTCTGGAATAATATTATGATCAACGCCTTTTTTGAATATCGAAGGATTAGCTTTGTTCAAACGATGATTTTATAAAATATTCAAATATTATAACAAATTTTATTACCTGCTTCTAATATATCACGCATTGAACTTTTCTCATAAAACGTGAATCTCAATGCATACTCCTTAAAGGAAACAAATTTGGAGATCGAGTCTTTAAATGAAAATTCTGCGATATCAGGATAAGTTGCTTCCTCCCCGGTAATTTGAGTTGTAGCAAAATGACGAGCATGACTTCTATTCTTGATAATCTGTGTTTTAGTAAGATAACGAGCCTGTAAAATGCCTTTATATGATATTAATCTTGTAGTTGGCCTTAAAGCATTTATTAAGCCACCGGTTTTTCGGGACAAGGTAAAACTCATTGTTTGGCGTGTGGATCTTTTTTATCTGATGATTTAACCGATTTAATCTATATAAATTGTCAAAATTTTCTGGCACATTTATCTAGACACTTTTGCATGACGCATAAGACAATGGCCAATCGGAATGCGTAAATTTTGATTGTCCCGGATCAGCCCGACGTCAAAATAAAACACGCGTGCAAGAGTCGAGTGCAAGACATTCAATTACCCGGGTAACTTATTTATACATTTTAAAGTAATTTTTAGAACGCAATGTTTCACTAACAAAAAATCACAGCAAAAGCCGTTCCTAACTTGGAAATAACGTCAATATTCACTGTGCAAAATAATCTCTAAATCATCTCACTCCTCACATACTTTGCTTAAGGTAACTGGAAAAGTTTTATTTTATTGTGTTAGATTTAAATAAAATTTATTGCTAACGTTTAAGTTGAGTAGGTACAAATTCTTTAGTGATAGAAGATCCGGCTTGTGGTGTATTTGAGTTATACATGCGTGTCTAAATTATTTTTTTCAAAAAGTAATTTCGATATTGCTAGCTGTTTATATGAACTCCACAAAGAAACTACAGTCAGACCTCTCTAAATGCATTGCAGCGGGACCATATGCAAAAATTGAGTCAAACATGCATTTAGAGAGGTACTGCATTTAGGGAGATAAAACTTATAAGTGTTATATTAGTTGGGCCCAAGGGAAGACATGCATTTAGGGAGGTTTTTTATGGTGCGTGTATTTAGAGAGGCTGCATTCAGAGAGGTCTGACTATATACAATTTTATATTAGTGGATTTATAGAATTGAAATTAGACCTTAAAAATGGTCCCCAAAATGCGATTGTTTACAAAAATTTATTGGTCAGATGATGGTCAGATGATCTTTTAATTATAAATATCACCTGTTTTTTTTATTTTATTTTGAATTTACTGTATACAGGATAAAATTAGTTACAGATTGTATTAAGATAATATTAATTTAATCTGTCTATTACAGTCTCAGATATTATCAAATATAGAAATTGATTTACTATAAGTAAAAGACTATTCTAGAATCAATTTATATAGTATTTTTAATTTTTTTTAAAAAAAAGTTATATTTGTCTAAAATTATTAGCTAATAAGTGTAAAATCTAATTTCAAAGATTAATTTCAATCAAATACAACTCCAACTTTAGATGGGTGCCAACTTATATAATAATTATATATTAAATCTAATAAACTATATTAACAATTACGCGGAGGACCATTTATTTGACGGTCAGACCCAACATACAGGGCAGACTATGGAATCCTGCGCAGCTGTGAGAACCGAGCT